ATAGAGATGAAAAAAAAAGCTGGGGTAGCAATACTACTACCAGACAAAATAGACTTTAAAACAAAAGTATAACAAGAGACATAGAAGGACCCAGTAATCCCACTTCTGGATATTTTTCCAAAGAAACCCAAAACACTACTTTGAAGGGACAAGTGAATCCATATGTTCATTGGAACATTATCTACAATTGTTAAGATATAGAAGCAACCTGGGTGTTCATTAATGGATGAACATATAAAGAAGAGTTAGTACATATATACAATGGAATATTACTTAGCTTTAAAAAAAGAATGAAATCTTGCCATCTGCAACAATGTGGATGGACCTAAAGGGTATTGTGGTGAGTGAAGTAAAAGACAAATGCCATATGATTTCACTAACAGGTGGAATCTAAAGGAAAAAAAAAAAAAAAAGTGAGTGAAGTAAAGACAAATGCCATATGATTTCACTAACACGTGGAATCTAAAGGAAAAAAAAATAAACGAAACAGAAACAAACTCATACAGAGAACATTTTGAGGGTTGGCAGATGAGAAGGGGTGGGGAGTTGGATGAAAAAAGGAAAGGGATTAAGTACAAATTTGTAATTACAAAAGTCACAGGGATATAAAGTACAGCATAGGGAATATATTCAATAATATTGTAATATGTATAGTGTCAGATGGGTACTAGATTTATCAGGGTGATCACTTTGTAAGTAATATGTGTAATCACTATGTTGTACACTTTAATATGGTATGCCAATTATAACTGAAAAATAAAAAAAAAACATTTTAAGAAACTCATTGTAGCTATATGGAGAATGGATTAGATAGGGGTATGGTTAGCCGCTGAGAGATCTCATAGGAGACTGATTTACAGGCAAGTGAAAATGGAAGATTAGACAAGGGTGTTGCAGTGGAGAATGAAAATAGAAGATGACTCAGATGTATTTTGGAGCTAGAACCAACAAAACTTATATTCAGAATTTTCTAAAAAGAGACCACAAGTAAGTGATTTAAAAATTGGATAGACAAGTGAATGGATTTAAAAAGGAAGGAAAAGATTTTGAGGAAGGAAAGAATGGGAGATGTACACACTACGGAACAGCCCAGAAGTAATACGTGAAAATGATCATGTTTACAATTTGAATCCCATGTTCTGCTCTGTGCCTCTATTTTCTTAAAACAAGAAATTAAACTGGGCAGAAAGAAAGAGGAACTGCTTGAGGATTTTAAGCCTTAAATGGTTGAGCCCAGGCCATTGAAAAAAGATAATTTGCCCAATGAAAATAATGAGGCAACATTTACCTAAGATCACTTTAGTGAGAAACAGTGGTTCTCACTCTGGCTGCACCTTTAAATTTCCGGGGGGAGCTTTTAGAACTGTATGTATCCATTCCACTGGAGTGGTTCTGATTTAATTAGTTTGAGGTGGGGACACAGGCATAGGTATTTTTTAAAAAGCTCCACAGAAGATTGTAATGAGCAGTCAGAAAATAAGAGCCTTTAGAAGTACAGCTGAAGATGTCAAGGCAATAAACCTATTCCATTAAATGATGGATTAATATTCAGAATAGGATGAAAGAACTTTCCTCTCAGATAAAGAATACAGGCCCATCAATTAAAGACATAGTTTGAGACTACAAGAAAATAAACGTCAATTTTATGAGATTATTTTTAAGCTGGGAAAACTTATTCTCATCTTGTTAAGAAAACACTCATATAGACATCACACATATTTTAAAATATATTTTATTTCTATTACAAACAGCAAGGAGGGGAGAGATTAACAGCTGATAATTCACTGAGACGCACAAGAAAAAAAATAAGGCGTTGCAGTGGAAAAGTGATCACTAGGAACGAAGGATTCAGTTATCATTGCGGGGGTGGGGTGGGGTGGAATTGTAATTGGTGACCAGGGCACACTTGGCAATGGATTTAACTGTAACACACAACTGTAGCTTTTCAACTGCTCTAGAGTCAGAAAGCTTTCAAGATTTTGAATGAGCCACAGAATTACCAGAGCAGGACTAAAAGCCAAGTAACTATTCTCCTAAAAGAGAGACCAGAAACATGATCCTTTGATGGTAACCAAGATTCCTTGCTGTTGGTAGATAAATGGGTATTTGAAGGCAAGGGTAGTTACACAACTTGCCCTAATTATTCGATTAATTTGTGGTCTCACTGGAATCAGAAGCAAGGTTTAACATTGTAAATGTTTTAATGTTCCGTTTACAACTGCTTTGCACCCTAACTCCATTGAAAACAGAAAAGAAAAACGTCTGGAGTACTTTAAAAATTGCAACTGTCCAGGTGAGAAGCTAATGTGTGAAGGGTGCCGCCCAGATAGTTCGATGGGATAAAAAGTGGAAGTTGAGCAGAAAAGACAAAACGTGGATTTTTAAAGTGGGAGTGTCCACTTTAGGAAGGGAGTGAAAGCAAGAGGATCGACGTCTAAGGGAAGGGGGACGTAAAGAAGAATCACACGATGCGAGTATCGTTAAGTGGGAAAGGGTTCCCAGGACACTAAAAGAGCAGGTAAAAGAGTAGACCTCCTGGGAAACGCTGGGTACTGTCTTGATAACCCTTCAATAAGTGGGGACGCGAGCGCGCACTACAAATCCCAGAAGCCCCTGTTTCCTGGAGCCGAAGCCGCGCAACGCCCGCCGGGAGTTAGTCCGAGCCGCCAAGATGTCGCAGCCCAAGAAAAGAAAGCTTGAGTCGGGGGGCGGCGGCGGAGGGGAGGGAGTAGAAGAGAAAGATGGCGGAGAGCAGGCGGAGGCGGCCCTCCTGCTGCGACCCCGGAGAAGTAGGCGGGAGCGGGACCAGCTGTACTACGAGTGCTACTCGGACATATCCGTCCACGAGGAGATGATCGCGGACCGCGTCCGCACGGATGCCTACCGCCTGGGCATCCTGCGTAACTGGGCAGCACTGCGTGGCAAGACGGTGCTGGACGTGGGCGCGGGCACCGGCATTCTTAGCATCTTCTGTGCCCAGGCAGGGGCCCGGCGCGTGTACGCGGTGGAGGCCAGCGCCATCTGGCAACAGGCCCGAGAGGTGGTGCGGCTTAACGGGCTGGAAGATCAGGTGCACGTCCTGCCGGGGCCGGTGGAGACGGTGGAGTTGCCGGAGCAGGTGGATGTCATCGTGAGCGAGTGGATGGGCTACGGACTCCTGCATGAGTCCATGCTGAGCTCTGTGCTCCACGCGCGAACCAAGTGGCTAAAGGAGGGCGGTCTTCTATTGCCGGCTTCTGCCGAGCTCTTCGTGGCGCCCATCAGCGACCAGATGCTGGAGTTGCGTTTAGGCTTCTGGAGCCAGGTGAAGCAGCTCTATGGTGTGGACATGAGCTGCCTGGAGAGCTTCGCCACGCGCTGCATTATGGGCCACTCGGAAATCGTGGTGCAGGACCTGTCGGGCGAGGATGTGCTAGCCCAGCCGCAGTGCTTTGCTCAGCTGGAACTGGCCCGCGCCGGCCTGGAGCAGGAGCTGGAGGCTGGGATAGGGGGACGCTTCCGCTTCAGCTGCTACGGCTCGGCACCCATGCACGGCTTTGCCATCTGGTTCCAGGTGACCTTCCCCGGAGGGGACTCGGAGAAACCCCTGGTGCTTTCCACCTCGCCTTTTCACCCGGTCACGCACTGGAAGCAGGCGCTCCTCTACCTGAACGAGCCTGTGCAAGTGGAGCAAGATACGGACATCTCCGGAGAGATCACACTGCTGCCCTCCCGAGACAACCACCGTCTCCTGCGCGTGCAGCTCCGCTACAAAGTGGGCGACCAGGAGGAAAAGACCAAAGACTTTGCCATGGAGGACTGAGCGTTGCCTTTTCTCCCAACTCCCAGGGCGGCCAGACCCCCATGGTAGAGGCGGAGGCGGGTCGGAAGAGAAAGGGAGAGCCCATCTGCAAGTAGGGGGCATTATCTTCTGTCTCCCTTTTACCTCATGGCTCCTGGGGAGGGAGAGTGACTTCAGGCTCCCTTGGAGATTCATTCTTCTGGCGATATTTATTAAAAAAGTGATCCCGATGCCCCCAACGACGGAAACAGCGTGTTTATTACTAGGCTTTTAAGCCGCAAAACATGTGGTACCAAGCACTTGTAGTTCTATTTTTTTTTTTTTCATTTCACAGGAAAAAAAATACGGAATAAATATGTCCGATTATGAATGCTCCATGCACTTACCTGACACCTCACACCTTATCCAAGTCAGAAGGCAGGAAGAGGGGTAAAAAAGAGTTTAGACTCCATAAATTTCTAATATAACTTTATTATCTCTCTAGAACCATAGTGTCTCATTCTCTGAATTCCCCGCTTTCTCCGTTGCCTCTGGGCTACTGCACTTTTTCCTCACGGTTTTTAAAATTCACTTTACTATAATGAGGATGAGGAGAATGAGGAAGCAGTTTAAATAATCCTGTTCTCATTACACTTCCATAGGGTGCTAAAGTTGATGAACACATTACACCATTTAGTAAAATAGACTATACGTAATTGTACAGCCTAAGGAATCTAGAAGGTACTTTTAGGAAAAAAGGACCAGAAAGACAGTGAAGTGGTATAGAGTTTTTTATTCTTTACTATTAAGACAACTAAGAAAATGTTTTCTGTATGTTCCATAAAACATTTTTGGGTAATTTAATGTAACAGGCTGATAGAGGACATTTCAGGACTTCACTCAAGGGCTTGTTTATCACCATGGGTTAATTATTTACTCTCACTAAATTAAGGAAAATATTCTCCCAGAGAGAAAAGTTCACTCATTCTCCAAAACTCCCTTATTTAGGTGGGTCATGTGACTTGGCCTACTTACATCAAGTAAAAGTTCCTTTTTTAGTGTGTGTTTCTTTCTTTTTAGCTCAGCCAAATGTGAAAGTTGTGAATTTAGGAAAATCGTTTGTAATGAAGCGTGAGTCATTTTATCAAATTTATTTCACAATGTTTCCCTCTTTTATCCCTGTGGCAAATAAAACATTGGCATTCTATTTTTATAGATCAAGTAAGAAGTCGTGTACTGTTATAATGCTTTTTGCTTTTTAAATGGTCAGATCTTAAGAAAGTGTTAAAACCCCTTCAGAATATAACTTTAGAGTAATTCAAACTGCCTAGTGTGTGGCTTTTTCATACTATTAGCTTTTGTATGCTAATAGAAAACGTGAAAAGCTGAGCTTCTGAAATACTCGTTTATACGAGTTTTCTGCTATGATTCATAGCACATTAAAGTACTTAAGTATTATAACTAATTTGCTAAAATTTGATGTTAATACATGAGATCTGCCATTATGAAGGGAAACATAAAAGTCCAAAATCAGACTTTACAAGATCCTTGAGTAACAAGCAATGAAGTTATAGTTGTCACCATTTTGATGTCAAGATACTTAACAGCCTCTGTAAGTGGGTAGAGTCATAGCAAACTATGCCTGGTTTAAGGTAGAGGTATAAAATAGCTCCGTTTTTTAGGGTCAACTATATTTTAAGTTGAACATTTATTTAGAATTTTATTGTGTGGTTTTAAGTAGGTTTCTGATATATATATTTTTTAGCTTGCTATAATAATCGCTTTGCTGTATGGGAAAACAAAGCCATCTTCCAAATTTCATTTTTTTAAAATATGTTTTTTAAATATATGAATACTATAGAGTTTTCATTACCAGCATAAGCACACAAAGAGAACACCAGTTATAACTTTGGATAGCTATAGAAGTAAAAGGTAAGTATTTCATAATTAAGCAAAGGAAGCTTTAAAATTCTTACCGTTTCTGTTTCCCAAAAGAAAAATGAATTATAGAAATAAAGCTACTAAAGCAATTAGTCAAGAGGCAGCATTGCAAAGTGGTTAAAAGCTTGGATGCTGAAGCCAGACAGCTCATGCAGAATCCAAGACTCTACCACTCTATGTGACTATAGGCAAAATACCTATTTTTCTCTAGTGCTCTCATACAAATTGGGGATAACAATAGAAACTTCTCCATAGAAATGTGAGGAAACAATGAGTTAATTCATGTAAGCGTGTAGTGTCTGGAACATCATAAGATCTCAGTATCTCCTGGCAGTTGTGATTATGGAAAAATAGTATGCAAACCCGGAGCAACTGGACACATACAAAATATGCCACAGAATAAATATGCAACATTTTGGTTTTCTTACAGGTCTTGTTTGACAGTATCAGCATGGCCGTATATGACAAGCAATGTGTGACATTGAACACCAGATGATCCAAAGGAAGCCCAAGTCCTTTGCTGTGAGGACACTTCCAGAAGGATGAGAGTGTGAGACGCATGGACATCCAGGCACTATCTAATCTCTGTATGAACTGGTACTGATAACTTAGGGCTGTCTGAGCCGCGGGAAGGATTTACCAGCCCGAAGGAGAGAAACGCAATGGCGAAGTTCTACCTGCCTTCCTTGAATAGCTTGTATTTATTTAGCACTGTGAAACTTCACAAATATTTCCATTAATTCACTGGACCAATGGACATTTTATTGAGTAAACAATGTAACACTGTGATAAGCACTTAGGATACAAACCAACAAAAGAGTTTCTGCCTCCAAATAGGTATGTTCATAGGATAAACCAGAAAGTAAAACGGATGAACAATAATGAGATAAAGACTGGGATGGTGTAGGTGTTAGGGAGGGCAGGTAATTATCTTTACATACTGAGAAAAGTTACACAGATACCGAAGAATTCACCTAAGCATCCATAGCTAATTCTTGACAGTTGAACACAAGGCATTCAATCCCTTACCCCAAACAAAAATCGATTTTTAATTACATTAACCTTGTGTACTTTAATTTTAAAAAAGTACATACCTCCGGATTGGATGACAGCAGTTTCTATCTTTTGATGAATGAAGGAAAGCGAGAAAAGTTCTTATTTAAGGAAATTTTATTGGAGATCTAAAGATCTTAAAAGGCCACCTTCAACATATAGGATCTCAAGACTGACAGATAGTAAGCAGTCATTGAAACACCCCCGTACCTATTTCCCTAACAGAGCTGATCAAATGTGGTGCTCTTTCTGAGGTCCTTAGGAAACTGAATCCTCAACATAGCAGCAAAAGTAGGTGAACTCTGCCATTTGGGCTATATATAGGTTTATGGTGCTGGAGAGCAGAGAGGCATCGATGAAGCATTCATTAATCGAATTCTTTAATAAACACCAACTACCTAACAATTCTGTGATAGGTAAGCAAATCCTAACCTCAAAGAACTGAGATACAGTAGGAGAATAAAATTACCTGCATCAATAATTTGCATACATTCTTTAACCTAGAAAGATTTTGTTTCAACTAAACCTTACCTCTGTCGTAGAAGGGTTGAGAAGCCCGCCCTCTTACCAAGTCCATCCTTAAAATTTCTCCCAGGTGCAAAAAATATTACCACATAGATTATGAGATCTCAGAGAAAAATTTATTTATGGTATTAGTCCCAAAAATAAATCAATGTCCTGTAAATGGACACAGTATATTGGGTAGAAGATTCTTCTCATGTTGGCTACTAGAAAACTGAGCCAAATTTATAGCTCACTTGTGCTCTTTTTTTTTTTAGCTTTATAACTGGCTCTATTTCCATACCCCATTTTTTTCCTTGATTTATCCCTCTCACATAATAAATACTACAGGTTTTGTTGAAATTTATGTATCTTTGTCCTAATACTTTTTGGCATTAAAATATGTTCCTACTTTGTGGAAAAGCTGCAAAAGTCCTGAGGGCAAGGGAGGATTAGAGAAAGGGCCAGAGGATCTTGAGATATGCCTTTCTTTATTTCTTATGAAATTCAGTCTCTCTCATTGTTAATATGAACAGATAGCTGATGGCAGCCCATTCATTTAGCCAACCTACAGCATTTTACATTTTGAAGAATCAGATTTTTCTGAATGTGTGAAAAACTGGGACATTTAGACAATCTTGAGAAAACTTCAAATATTGTACAGCTCTTTCTAAGCCTAGGATAGGCCATGATTGAATCTTAAACATAATATTAAGGAGAATTGTAGATTGCTAAACATTTTCCAAAAATGAGTTCAAACAGTTTAATAATACGAAGAAAGATATTATAGTAAGACTACTTCTCAAAATGTCATAGTTGCCTGTAGAAAAAGGCATGTGAAACAAAGAAATCTTAGACCTAACTAAACACAAAGAGAATTTTAATAAATATTAAGACATGACCATTATATACTTACACTTCTTTCTATTCTCTCCCTAGACGATCTTACCCAGTCTCATTACTTTACATAGTGTACCGTCTATATGCTGGTGACTCCTTGAAGGCATGACAACAGCACAGGTCATTTACAACAGTTCATGATCATCGGTGAGTGTTTATTGAATGCTTGTTACATGAGAGTACTGTTTTTAATTTTGGTATATCAAGAAGCACAGGACAAGGTCCCTGGCCTGAAGGAGCTGAGTCTTAAGTGTAGAGCAAGCATCTCAGCTTTTCAAAGATAAGTGGTGTTATAATGCAATGCAGACGAATCACAGAGATAAGTGCTATTATAAGGGTTGGGTCATTGCATGATGGAAGAATTAGAGCTTCTCACTAAAAACGAAGGAATGGACTTGGATCTTGCTGATTTTCAGTCATGTCAAGATCCTACCTTAGGTACTCTCTACCTGGAACATCTTTCTTTAGACTACATGTTACACTTTCTCACCTTTCAGTTCTATTCAAATGTCACCTCAGAGTAGCTTTCCTTGACTACCATGATACACACGATAGGTAACTGTTTTCCCTTGTTATCTGAAATTCCGCTATTTACTTCCTTATTGTCTTTCTCACACTGTAAGATTTGTAAGAGCAGGAATACTGTTGTCCCTCTTGTTTACCATTGTCTACCCCTTGATGAAAACATCTGGCAGAAAGCAGGTATTTAATAAATATTTGTTGAGCAAATGGGTCTTATAAACCAAATGGAACTTATATGAGCAACCATTCTAGACAAGGACAATGTCTTGAAAAACAAGTGCTCCTTAGAGAGGTCTTTTCAATCAGGATCTGTAGTTAGCTTTCTACTGTCTACAAAGAAATTTCAGTAATCTCTGGGATACTGAGAATATCACTGATGGACAGTGCAAATGATTGGGCTTGCTACTATTATAACTCCTTGTCAGTTTGTAGCCTTCTGTTGGGTCTGTCAATTTTCACTGAGCACACAGAATGAAGCTTGTCAAAGAGGTCTTGGTTGAATCTCTAGAAATAAAATTTTGCAAGGCATAAGACACATAGAAGTGTTGATAAGGCTTTCAGAATTATTGGCTTAGTTTTCAGGATTTCCATGAACAAAAGAGGAAGACTAAAAATTATGACAAAGAAGGAAAATGAAACCAAGACATAATTCATTAAGGCTGATGAAAGCTTCCTTCCCAAAACTATGTTTTGGCAACCAGTTTATTTAGATTTCTTCCCAACTACTGTTTGACAAGTAGGTGCCTGCCAATTTTCTCTTCCTCTGAGTGGACATGATCCCATAAAATTGTCAAAAAGCCACTGAAAAAATTACTAACCTGTGTGTTCTTTTATTCATTGTCAGCTCTATGCTGTTCAGCCTATGCCAGGAGATCATCCTGGCCTCATCCACTTGGGGTTAGTTAGCATGAGTCTTTATTTCTTCTTTTGGGATGGGAAGCAGACAGAATCTTCTCACTTAGTGCTCTGAGTGGCTAAAGCTCCTCAAAGGTGTGCTTATGACAGACAATAGTAAGAGATAGCAACCACAGCTACATAACAGCATATTTTGACAGAATTTTACTAAAAGCTATTTTGAAAAACAATTCATTTATTTTAATGGTATTTTTCATTAAAAATATAATATGCGCTGCTTATAGCAAATTTTATACTACAGAAAAATAGAAGAAAAAAATAATATAGCACCCATAATTTCACCCCTAGACTTTTTCTATTCCAACTTTTATGTATGCTTGTTTTTGGATTTTTATAAAAATTATATCTTGCTGTCTTCTACAATTTTAATTTACTTAATTATCTTTTTT